TTCGTGTCGGGGATTCGAGAGACCAAACTTCGTCATTGGGTTCCAATTCTTCTATTCTTTGTGCTTGTTGTCTATTTAATTGTGGGATCTGCTTGCTTTTGGTTTTTCGAACACCATCGACACGAGCAAAACGTCCGGAAATGGTACATGAATCTTGCAGTCAATAGGTGAGCGTGAAGGTTCAATTCCCCATATTCCCCATATATCAATTGTGTTTAACCCTACTAAAAAATTTACTAGTACGAATTGCCTCTTCCCAGAGTTAACCGACTTTTTCCTAGCATCATATCTCTATAGGAACCTTACATTTGACTTATTGCTTCCCCATATATCTTGTAGTGAACTACCTAAGGTCACTGACGGTCACTTCTTCTGACTTTCTCCTAATTCCACATCTCTCTAGGAATTGATACTTCAGTGTTTGTGTCCCCATCCATCTTGTGAAGAGCTACCTGAGGCGCTGACGGGCGATTCTTTTGCCTTTTTCTCAATCCGCATCTCCCCAGGAATCCTATGTTTGAGTACCTGCTTCCCCATCCATCTTTTAGGGAACAACAAGATCGCTGTTAGGCACTTCTTCTGACGAAAACCTAAGCCGTATGTATTTCGCAGTGAGTGAGAAGTTTTCTCCCAAGGGACACGCTCGCATCGCTTATCATGGCACGTCTGTCCATCGCTTTATGCCCTTCCAAACTAGCCATGCGTCATAGTCAGAACTTCTCATCAACACTCTCTCGGACCCGGCTCAGACGGATCCCGTCTCGTTGCGAGCCTATTTTGACAGCTTTGCGATGTCTGTGGTCCCCCGGTTGAAAAGTGCTGACGAGATGTCGCGTGCGCGAAGAACAATCCGGGCATCGCTTGGCCAGTAGGTGCATAGAGAGTAAAGACCTTTGCCTCATCGGCTTCGATTCAATTTCCATCGCTAAATTTTAAACATTCGCAGACTGATGCGCTGAAAATACTGGATCATTGAATTTTAAACTGAAACTTTGAGAAAAATGAAGGGGTTCCAGAGTAGCAGAGGATTTCCTCGATTAATGGACCAGATAAGCGGCGTGGCCCAAATGAGAGTAACACGCGCTTGGCGCCTTTTAAGATTGGAGCTCCCTTCAGACCGAGCCAAACCATCAAACAAAACAGGCTCATTTGGAATTTTCAGGAGACATTTTGCGAGGTCCATCAGCTCGAGAATCTTCAACGATACTCGAAATCTACTTATTATTATCGACAGGGAACAGACAGAACGAGTTCAGGTAATCGTTGACAGTCTTGGGTTTTTGGGTTTATCTCGTCATAAGGTACAATAAGGTCCAGAGCTGCGTTCTTTATCCATCTCTATAGCTCTCCTGTTATACCGGGAAGCGCCATTCCAAATGTTTTAACTAACTTTTCTCAGAGTTACATGGCTTTTTCCCATTAGCTTCAGTAGTTCTTGTCGATTCGGCCTTCTTGTCGATTTTGTCTTATACCTATCGAATTTACCACTCAAATGCCCCTCTGAAATGAAAAATCTGAATCGAGGATTGTCATCACATTACAGTACACCTGAAAGGTTGAATCCCAGTACGCAAGCATTTAGCGCCAGCCTCTGGCGCGGTCAAGGATGGTTGTGACCTTCCTAACATTAAGCGCCGATTCTCAAGTCCATAAAAAGCCTCTGCCATCTGCCTCCAAGCTGAGAGTTCCAAAAGCGCATCTTGGTGCGAGTGAATCGATCCAGCCACTACTCATTCATGAAAAGCGCTAAAAAGTCGCTGTAACCGTCTGGCTGAAGTCTGCTGATGAGCACAGTATCCAAGAAGCTGAGAGCTGTGTAGGCCGATTACGGGTAAGTCGGACACCTCCACGTTCCTCCAAATTACACCAAAGAAACTTCTATCGACTAACTAATTATGTCGACTCGCCCCAGTATTAGATTTCATCGGCGAGCTTCTCGTCGAATTGACGAGAATTGTCGCTGTTTTTCAAGAATCGGGATTCGCTGGCCGTAGGAGGACAAATCGACATGGTGAGGGCAAGTCTGTCTGGTCGCAGTTTTGCTGGTGTGGTTTACTGAGCGAGAGCAAGACAGAGTTTTAGCGGAAATGCTGCGAAGAATACTGATTGACCGGAGAATAGCGGTCGAATTGCGGGCGAATGCAGTTTGTGTCGATTTGGGCAACAATCAGCCAGCTAACGCCATCTTTGCTCAATAGCCGCGACAACGCTAATTGTGTGAACTATGCTGCCCAAATGCTCGATAGGAGCATCCATCCGAAAACCATGGAAACTGGCGAGAATTTCAACTTCCACTGTATTCAAGAAAACTAACTGGGAGCCCCAGTAGATAGCTGACCGTGCAAAATGAGGTCATGGAACGCGAAGAACGATCAGAAGGCGCTATCGCAGTATACGGGGCAATTCCTAAATGTCCGTCCACGTTTCGCTAAGTGTCCTAACGTATACATATTTAAACGTGCCAAGGTTGTAGTGGTTTAGAATCCAGACAGAAGCGCCCCTGCTTTACGCGATTAAGGCTAACTTTTTCAAAGGAACGAAAGAGAGCAGAGAGTTATGGCAGTATACGGGGGCTCGTGGCTGCAATGCATTTCAAACTACGTAAAACATCTCCTTTCTGTTGGAAATTTCAGGTGAAGAAGAAAGGGCTTCAGTGCGTATGCAGTTTTTTTTTATATTTTCTGGTATTCGCCCTCTCCTCGACTTACCAGGGAAGGCATTCAACTTCCCATGGAACTTTGAATTGAGACCCAGATATATCGATAGAGCTTCAAACGCTGATTACAAATATGGAAACTAAAACTGCAAAATGAACCTGCCAAGGAAGTTGTGAGCAGTCAAAGTTGGCTGGAAGTAAAGCGTTACATATGAACCCTCCAGGCTTTCAGAGTCGCCGCGGAGTAGTGGTGGTGCCCTCGCTCTTCACCCTGGAGGTCATAAGCTCTCCTCCCGTTGGAGCGCAAATTCCGAGAGCACTACCACTACTCCACGGCGACTTTGAAAGCCCGGAGGCTAGTGTAATGCTTTACTTCCAGCCAACTTTGACTGCTCACAACTTCCTTGGCAGGTTCATTTTGCAGTTTTAGTTTCCATATTTGTAATCAG